ATTCAGAAAGAATAAACCAGTTTTATTTAAGAAAGGACTTGTGTCGCGAAAGTTTCGTCGGCGGCGTAACAGTACCAATGCCTCAAATGCAGAACACTTTGTAAAAGTTTGTTCAACTTTGCACTCTACCCTTTTAAGGTTACTTTGCTTTAACATTAGCCTGAAAGTTGTCAGTCATATATTGCGATATATATGTAACTATTTCACACTGTAATAAATGTTCTAGGATATTCAAAGCTTCATTTTAACTTTTTTTATTGTATTTGATATTAGGATTAAAAAGAACAAATATCTCCTTTACACAATATTACCAGTCCATTTATCAATATGCTGTGAAAACGAGTAATTTTATAGCACTTCATTTATTATAATATATTATTTTTAGGAAGCGTATCGTATAATATTTCATACAAATCAGAACTTATTTATATATATACTAATAAGTTGTAAGTTTAAACAATGTTTTGCGGCTAGTGGACACCTGTGAGAAAAATAAAATGGAAAATAAATTATATTTTTATTATACATTTTAAGGGTTAGTTGGAACTGGAGCCCACACGGAGGGCTTGTTACTAATGCTAATGTTGATTTAAATATCGCGAGACTCACTAAGGATTTGGTTAATTAATTGAGATTTTTCCAGAATAACCATATTTATCAAATGGCCCAGCAAATAAAGTCACGTAAGAACATTTCAAATTTATTCTAATATAAATTTGAGTACATTTATCAGTTGCTCAAGTATAGATTACAATTTTTACTTAGGCCTACAACAGTACAAATGTAAATTAAATATGCACTCGTATGATATTAATAATGCAGTGTAAAATGTAATTACTCCACTCTGTAACGTAATAATATTAATAATACAGTTCCTAATTGTACTAAATACCACTCTACTACTAGTAGTAGCACTACAGCTTACAAATACAACTTGTAGGTAGAGTCAAGATCTTATTTTTACTCTTATCAGTTTTGTACTTCACTGCACGTTAGTATTGTAACTTGTTCTACTGCTACTCACTAGAACTAGTTGTATTGATACTGATAGTAATACTTCTGTTTTGCAAATGACGGTTCTTTTCCATAAGTAATTATTATTAAATGTGTTGCCTGGCGCTTATGGTGATTAATTTCAACTTAAAGTTTGTACTGTGGCTTTTATAAACACAATAAAATGATTTGTTGTAAGGTATAAATTGTTCAATCAACGTGTTTCAGTGAGACTGTCATTTTTTCAACATTGTCAGGATTTAAGCAAGAAAAATTGTTACTTTTAAAAGCTCATGATTCTTTACAACGTTATGAAGGTAAGGTCCTAAGTCACAAATAAATTTTTAGCCATTTTAATGCCTTATAGCTAGGAATGGTGACTAGCTCAGTTGGCAAAATAAAGTGTCAAAAGAACTGAGAAAGATTAAAATATATGCATACAAAATATCATGATGTTAGTTATGCTATGATTACTTTAGTGTTTTGTACATTATTTTGACAAGTGGCCAGTACTGAATGACCATAATTATAGACCCACAGCAATGCATTATCCTGGGAAACACTTTGAATATTTGACACCTGCCCACTATTCTAATGTGGATATCAAAATTAAAGTTTACTCTAAGTGTCATCAGAAAATACAGCCAGCCTTACAGGATATTTATTAGACACTGTTATTCACATTCACCATGTTGATATTAAGTATTTCTGAAATACACTTGTATACCCTTTGTATTGCCTTAACTGAACATTGAAACAGATAATGTACACATTATATTGTGTACATGAGATAATTACATGTTTACTGGCAGTGGCAGTAAAATAGACAATGTGGAAAAAAAGACAAGGAAAATTACATAAGCAAGTAAAAAAAAGTCTGATATTTTAGCAATGGTATAAAATGACAAATTCCAAAATAAGTGTTTTTCTTTTTTATTATCACATAAGTAAACCCTGTAAGATTGGCTTAATTGTTATTGATACTGTTTTCAAAAATGCTTTTTTACCTCTATGTAATTTTCTGTCTTTTTTTTTACCCTTCTCTTTATTACCTAGATTCATATACTGGAGGCTATAAACAAAATTGGTAAAATAAATTGTAAATTCTTACTTGTACACTAGTAGTGCTTACCCTTCTCTCACTCACATTTTATAACATAATGTTTTGGTACAACATGGGACCTATTGGTCCATTTTGGCTGTCCCATACTCTAAATTAAAAAAAAAAATCTTAAAGCCAACCCTTATCATTCATATAGTTATCAAGCTTTCTTTTAAACTCACTTAAATTTACTGCATCCACAACATCCGAAGGCAACCTACTCCAAAGGCCAACCACCCTGTTCAAAAAATACGACTGTCTTAGGTGAAGATGACTCCTACCCTGCCAACATTTATATTTGTGTCCTTTAGTTTTACTATTCTCACTGTTAAGTATGAAAAAAGATGATGCATCAACACTATAAATTCCCTTTACAATCTTAAACACCATAATCAGACCCCCCCCCCCACTCTTCTTTTTTCAAGAAAAAATTTGAGATAATTCAACCTCTCCTCATATGACAACACCTCCATACCATGCACCATTCTAGTAACCCTCCTCTGAACTCTTTCCAATTCAATGCCCTTCCTAAGGTAAGGAGCCCAACACTGAACATAATACGCCAAATGTGGCCTAACCAGTGACCTATACAATGTAATTATAACTTCTTTACACTTGTATTCAATATTTTTGTAGATACAACATAAAATCATATTTGCCCCACCACTAGCTACAGCAGCACACTGCTTGGATGGCTTAAGAGACTGATCAACTATTAAACCAAGATTCCTTTTTTTTTCTGACACTGTTAAGGCTATTCCCATCCAAATTATACTTATAATTCAAATAATGATAACTCACATGCATTATCTTGCATTTATTATAATTGAAACCAATTTACCATTTATTTGCCCAACTCACTAAATGATCTAAATCCTTTTGTAAATAAGCAGCATCCTTTTCACAGCTAGCAACACCCAAGACCTAATTTATATGGACCGAAGCTTGAACAATTGAAAGTACACATTTTGATACTAACAGCCACTACAGTCAATAGGGAAAAAAAAAGTCCATTTTAATTTCATTTGAGAATATTTCTTAGGTTGGAATGGAATCAAAAATAGTACATAAATCCCGTGCATGCATCCCACTTGACTGCAAGTGGAGTCTGAAGCACAGTGTTTCCTTACAACAATATAACACAAAACCCAACCATATCGGTAAAAACCATTATGATAAGTTAAACTTTGGAATGATCTTGGCAAAATGATTTTCTGGTACAACATATAGGCACAAAATATCTTACTTTCACCACTGATAAGCAATAATAATTCTTCTCACAGTTCAGTAGAATAAGGAACTTAATGTATGAACAAAAGGTTAATAGGCTTATTGTATATATGTTTCTGCTATTACATAAACTTCTTAGTTCACTGCCAGTGGCGATGGAATTAGTTAACTTAGTTCAAATTGAGTATGGCTGTGTGTAGGGGTACTGTGGAATGTACGGGTAAACATACCTGTACTTTGTAACTCCTCTTCTTCATTGAGGCTGATAATGATACCTTGTGATTGAACTTGTAAACTCTGTAGTCTCTGAGACTCATAGAAATTGAAATCACTAAAATAACATTATACCATGAAGAATGCTTCTGGCTCCATGTTGGCAGTGGCCTCATGCTTGGACCCACTGAGGCAGTGCTCTGTTGCTAGTAATAAGGCTAATAGAATTTTGGAATCAAGACACATGGTAGTGCGTTGTGTGGCCAAAATGATCTTCGGGACACACTGTTTTATTAACAGGAGTGATAGTTTAACAATTTTTCCAATTTCTGTAGCTCGGACTGTGGATGGGCTCTACTTGACCTTTACTTCACCTATCAAATTTCAAGCCAATCCATTTAGAAATACACAAGATATAAAATCTCCTACTTTTCTTTGCACCAAAATTTATTTGACATACTTAACTATCATGGATTTTCTTCAAATTTAGTACACTGATAGATCTTTACAAGCTACAGTTAGGTGTCAAATTTGGTCTAAATATAAGCCATTTGTGCAAAGTTATTGAACAAAAACTGCTGAATTTTGACCAAACTTTTTGCGCACACCTACACAAAAAAATTGTGAGCTGTCGGTCTAACATTTTTACTACAGCTTCACCTAAGAGTAAAAGTGGACCAGTTTTAGTTTTTGTCATTCAGAGTAAAGTCAGCTGATTTAGAGCAGCAAAACTATAAGGTAAAAGGACATGCAGATACATAAGTATTAGTTAAGCCAAGCAAACTAAGTTAGCAGTTTCTAGCTCAAGTTTTCAACAAAATCATACGGTTGGATGGTTATTATTCATTGCCATCCTTTCAGCAAAAATTTGCTAAATTTTATGAAATTATCATAATTAAAGAGTATTTATCATCATGTGATATTAGCTTAAACAATCTACATAAATAATGATGCTTGATACGGCTGTACCAAGTGTTTATGGGTGATGACAAGAAACTGTTGATCCAGTTTCCATGGCGTTACTATAAAGGAAGTTATTAACACTGTTTTAGAGAGGAAAACTACCACCATATATTTTAA